TGAATGGCAGTCAAAAGTTTTCCACTTCTGCGCACGGAACCATCCGTTCATATAGCAGCAGTTAATTTCATTTGAAGAAATTGCGTGTCGCCCATTTCCGCTGTAGCATATGTAAATGGCATATATTTAAGCGCAATATTTAACTTCTTCTGGCGGGGCGACATCTGGAGTCTTCTACTTCCTACAACGAGGTTCATATCTAGACTAGGTTGATATCTAGAATTTGCCACAAATAGCTTTGCTACACTACCGCCGCGGCGCGCCGGCACGTTTAACAATTTTAGAGTGGTTTTACGTTCTTTGGAAAATTGCGCGCTGTTAGCTTATACGTTGTCTTACTATTTTTTGACCACTTGAATCAAGACCCCTGGACCATTGGGGAATTCATTTATATTTTAAATTGCATAGTCATCGTGATTGGAACTATGCTAAAAATTTCAAATCTCTAACTTGTCGGGAAGTTAGTTTAAAATCGATTGGAAATTTTATACGCTAAGAGCAGTGATCGCACTTAACATTTGTGTGGTAGAATCCGGAAAAAATCGTAGATTTCAAAAAAAATGTGGTAGATCTCAGGTTTTGGATCAAAATTTGTACAAAAATTAAAAAAATTCTGCAAGGGTTCACCTAAATTGCAAACATTTCGCTACTTGGGATTTACCGATTTTGACAATTCTCAAGTAAAAGTAAACGCTTTAGAAACTTAAGATGCAATGAAATTTGTTTATATCCGTTTTTTAACATTTTCGCAATTAATTCTTTTGATAAATCATATATTTTGCAATTTAACAATAAAACCACGTTTCCTGTCGAAAAACTGAATATTGAGAAAATTTTCTATTTTACAGTTTATTTTATCCTCGCACTCTGCCTGTTGGTCTTTAGTTCCAAATCTATCCCAATGTGGTGAAGTCCGATCACTGGCGCAGAGGTGTACAAAAGAAACATCGATAGTCGCCATCATTGCAGCGGCTCCAAATTAGGTTTGCGCAATTTTATTGTGTAGTAATTTCCACAATATTGACCTTACAAATCTCGGGTTGCGCAATGATAGAGGCCCTATAAGTTTGTTTTTCATTATGCAAATAAGCATATGGATTCTGTTTTTGTTAAAGCAAGTAACAATTTTTTTTATGACTACCAATTTAATTATAAAATTTTATTTATTGCTTGTTTTTCAAATAAAAGTTTAAAAAATAATACTTGATACTTTTTCTGCTTGGCAACTGATACCAAAGAACGTAGACGTAGAACGTCTTTTGCCCTAGTGCGTGTTTTGATTGGATTAAAAGAGAAGGGACGCCCCTGTTGCGCACTTTTGCCACAATTATAACGAGTTGTCCCTTCTTGTTATCTACGTTCTTTGCCATTAGTCACACCCAAGTTTGAGTGATCTACAAGTTACAAGCGTTCTCAGCATTTAACAGTTCATTATCATGTACGGTGTAATACAACAAATTATACACTGAGCTATGATAATCTGTACTAATATCTATAATAATAGACAATAATTTGCAATACTTTTCACTTTTGCAATTAGTTTCGGGCACTATTACACAGCCATGACTTGCGCTACTCTGCCATAGTACGGTTGTTGCTCCCTTTCATACCACAGTAATTTTGTATACAACTCTGAATCAACAAAATTCATGCTCCTTCTCATTAACAACCCTGCTCAGAATTAACCCCTGAGGATACTCAAAAAGTAATAAACTGTATATAATGTGCCCAAAAAAGCAAACCTGGGAAATGGAAGAGGAAGAAAAGGAAACGGATAAATTTGATTAGCAAAGCAAAAAGCAAACAAAAATGTCACGAATACCATCAAAAGATAAGTCCTGAAAAAAGGATCATGAAAAAGGAGAAAGCCAATCCAAGAAGAATTTTTCACCGAGCATACATTTTCTTGTAAGAAAAAACAGTAAAAAAATTCTTATTGGTGAACGAATAAATAAAAAAAAAACTATACGTATTAAACATTCGTTTAACAAAATAAAGGAAGAAGTGACTGAAATTGTTCTCTGAAGCTACACTCTCCCATTTATAAAGATGAATAATCTGGTTAGTAGTAATGCAAGTTCCGACAACTGTGTGTATTAATTAGCTCAAAATTTTTTAGGATCATGTTAAAAATTTTTATCCGGAAAACTATAAGTTAGATCTATCAGAGACAATGAAAGCCGCCCTTTCGAAAGGGCCAGGAGGAGTAAGTGTTGGTGGGCTTGGTAGTGGGGTTGGTGGTGGCTCGGCTGGTGCCAGCGGCAGTGGTGGTGCTCATGGAATGGGCACAACAGTGTCCCATGGCGATTTGCAGACTGGCAGCAATTCTGCAATTCCTGGTGTTGGATATGTTACGGAAAAGCTGTACATGCTATTGCAGCTATACTTGCAAAATAAAGGATGGAATCCCAGTGCTGAATTATTACAATGTTTCACGGATTTAAAAGACAACGCTATGCTGCCTAGCGCAGCCTATTTGCAGTAAGTAGAGATTAAAGAACATTCGTTTTGGAGGTTTTGTTACTGTTTTTTTGTTCTCTCAGGGTTCTTGCCAATCGCCTAACATTAGACGCACAAGGACGGTTGATACTACGTGAAAATGGCAAAATTGTACTACCATTTGAACATTTTGCTAATGCTGTAATGCTTAAACACATGTCTGGACCACATGGGTTACATTTAAGTGTCGAAGCCACTGTGCGCGCTGTCATCGAATCATACACCATAGGTCGAGAAAATTTTGGCATGGAAAAAGAATTTATTATTGAAGTAGTGCAGTCTTGCCCTAGCCCAGCATGTCGCTATTATAAAAACCATCTAGGATTGTCGCCATTACCCTTTATGGAGCAGCAATTTCCCGGAGTTAATCCGGCAGACTTCCTACAACATTTACCACACTTGCCTCCACCACCGCCACCACCTCATTCAATGGTGACCGGATCAGCAAACAGTGGTGTGCAGTCATCAGGATCTGGAAGCTCCGGAGGGAGTAGTAGCAATGTTGGTTCTAACAGTGGCAGTTCAGTAAGCAGTGGAGGAGAAGTCGATTTAACAAAAAGTTCGCCAGCTTCACATGCGTCAACTCCCAAGGTACCTGTGGTGCCACCGCAGTTACAAATGCTCACAAAGCAGCAGCAAAACAGTATACAATCTCAGTTGTCGCAGCTTAGTGCTGCTGCAGCCGCCGCTGCACACCATCAGCAGCAACAACAACAAGCAGCTGCCGCTGCTGCTGCGGCCGCTGCTGCAGCTGCAGCCAAGCAACAACAGCAACAACAGGCTCAGGCACAGGCACAGGCTCAAGCAGCAGCTGTGGCTCAGCAACAACAGCAACAGCAATTGACAGCAGCACTTTTACAGCAGCAACAGAGCCGGGCACTGGCTCAACAAAGCTTGGAAAAATTCAACAATTTGAGTGCTTTGGAAAAACAGCGAGTGCTACAACAGTTAGACCCTAAACATTTTGATCCAATGGTGGTGGCTGCGGCTGCCGCTAATTTACAACTGCAAGGAATCAATGATTTTAGGGTACGTCCATTTGCAAAATCAAATAATTACCAATTTCTGTATTTTAATACTTTTTTATAATTAAATATTGTGCTAATATATCCATTCTGTAGGTTGCCGCAATTGCTGCCGCAGCTGCACAAGCTGCTGGAAGTTCTTCTATCGTATCTAATGCTGCAGCCGCTTCTGCAATTGCCACTAGTACTGGCATGAATAGCAACAATAATAATTTGGTTGGAAGTGGAACTAGCAGCAGTGGTGTGGGAAACTGTAGCAGCCCAGCTGTTTTGCCATCAACTAGTACTAACTTAAGCACCAGTGCCAGTAGCAGTGGCGGAGGACACAGTTCTGCTGGTAATCCTGGCAACACTAGCATCATGGGTATTAGCGGCAACACTAATAGCAGCAATGTCCATCATAACCATCAGCTGCCCCCACCATCGCAATCACCTAGTGCTCATTCCAGCCACTCTGCATCATCGTCTTCATCTCATTCAACTGAACAAATGGTGCAAAAAAATGTTGAGCTTTTGCGGTAAGATAAAAATATATAGCAGTAGCAGAATTAGCCCATTTTTATATCGACGACTGAGTGGAAGATCAACCGATCTCTCTCGGCAGCAGGTTCGAAAGCGCCCCATCCCAGAAAACTTTTCAAGAATTCTCTACTTCAAAATTTATGTGAATTTCAGAATTTGATTGAAAAACGCCCTATCTCAGAATTTATTTCAAAAACGACCTATCTCAACTGAAACTATGTTGAGATCGGGCGTTTTTGAACCGAATTTTGAAATAAGGCAGTCCTCAAGAAAATTCAACGGTACGGCGTTCTTCAACAAAATTCTGTAGTAGGGCGTTCTTGAAAAATTTTCTGAGATACGGCGTTTTCGAACTGGCTGCCGAGATGGATCGATCTTCCACTCAGCCGTCGATATGCGGTCAACATATCGTCACCTGAAATGCAAAATCACGTATCATCATCGTCACTGAAATGGAAAAAGTCGTGACTTTTTTTTCATAAAACGATATGGGGAATTGTAATTTGATGAAATGTATCTTCATATAACAATCAAAAAGTGAATTTTGAATTTTTTATAAGTTACGACTTTTTGCAGTTCAGTGACGATGATGATACGTTATTTTGCATTTCCGGTGACGATATGTAATTCCTTAAATTTTTTGTTATATACATACATATGTACATATTCAGTGTATACTTACGGACATATAGCTGCGAGTAAAATAATAGCAGGGTAATTCCATTGTGACGGGTGCGATCTAGGGCTTTTTAAATTATTCGAATAATTCGATTATGAATGTTACTATTCGAATAGTTGATTCCCTTTAATTTAAGAATCGAAATTTTGATAAACATTTTTTTAAGTTTAATTTATGTGAACTTTGTGCAAGCTTTGTAACTTTTAACCGACTTCACAAAAAGGAAAAGGTTTGCAGTTCATCGGAATATTTTTTGATGTATGTTACCGCATCACCTTGAACCACGTTAACCGATTTCTAAATTTCTAAAAGAAACGTGCTACCTCACAGGTGGTCGCATCCTTATTTGGTTTAGATCATGAAGAAATTAGCGATAATTTTAAATTGAAGTCGGTTTTATTTTTTTGCTTAAAAATTACTTGTATTTATGCGGTTTCTGATAAAGATCGACCCATATTTTAAATGGAAATTAATAAAATAAATAAACATAAGTTACAAGCAGCATCATTTTGAATTTTACTGCTATTATTTTACTCGAAACTATGACTCTTGACATATTCGGGTTTTGTGAATATCCGGTCATTAAAATTTCTCAGGAAAAAATCATAAAATTAACGGATATCTCGATAACAAAATGAACGGATATTAACCGGATTTTCGAATCTAAAAATAACAATTCTTTGTGGATTAATCATTTGTGCTACTCTTATTATTTATTTTGAAAGTCGATAGATTCAAAAGAACGGATATTAACCGTATATGTAAAAATGATAATCTTTGCAGTTCCAATTTGGAATCGATTGAATCTAATAAAGACTTGCTTGCCTTGCATAATGGCGCCTGGACTGTGCCAGATAATAATCGTGAACCTTTACCAGTAGGCCAAGACAAAATAGTACGCATTTTTGCAGAACTGATGCGGAACATGGCACGCATGAAGACTTATATACGCCCATCAATGTGTAAACCGTATGGCAAGCAGAGCGAAAGCTTACAAAAAAGTGAGGCTTCTGTTAATAATTTACTACGAAATTATTTATATTCATGCATTACTCCAACTTTCTAGCACTTTTAGACACAATTCAAATTGTACAAACCCTACGTAATTGTTTGCCAGCACCACATATTCCGGTATCTTCGTGGAAGAGTGAGAGTGAAGGCAACGCTGGATTAATAACTTCTAACAGTGGTGCGGTAGGTAATTCCGGTACTAACATAATGAGTGGATCTGTTAGTGTTGGTGGTGGTGTAATGGTTTCAAATCGAGTGGAGAATTTGACCAATTGAATGTAAGCAAATAGTTTTAGTTTTCTCGTTGTTCATCTATAAGTCTGTTCCAGGTACTTCAGTATTTTGCAAGAAGGCTGTTCCCGTACGACACCTTACATAGAGTTTATTAATGTCGAAAACACAGCATTCGAAAATCCTGAAGTACCTGGATCAGGCTTTATAATAAGTATTTGCAAAAAATTTCGTTTATATCACTTTTCCTCAGAAAGAGCGTTAGCTAAAATCGGTTAATAATGAACTAAATTATAATGTTTTAAGTCATCTGAGTCCTAATCCAAGACTTTTTTACAACCAAATTATACCAGGTGATCAGTCAGGCTTGATGATGCGCCTCAAGACGCTGAGTTGCACATTTCAGCCGATTGGTAGCCAAGAGCCAAAAAAAAATTTATATGGTTTGAGTATAAAAACGAAGTTTAGGAAATAGTATAATGACAAATACAGTGCAAAGTTTTCACAATTCAATTAATATAGCCAAGTTCAAAACAATACCATTTGTAGGTGGGCACTAAAAATTGGAGAAGCTCGGCCAAAACCAGCAAAATGGCTTTTCTTTGTAAATCACTTATCAAGGGCTTACATAACTATGCAATACCATCTATCTGCAATTTTCACAAAAATTACTTTCCGATCTTAGAACCCATCTGGGAATTAACTGTCATCACTGATGTCAAATTTATCTTTGCAATTCTATAGTAAGTTCTTCTAACAAGCGATATACAAGGTCAACATTACCTAACATCATCGATGAAATATAAGCCTTAAGTGGATTTCATATCTGAAAAAACTTTTCTTGAAAATTGAATATAAACCGTCAGTATATACAACTGTGAAAGCCTATCAAAATGTTTTCACTCTTGATTATATCGTCACTAGAGACGAATAAAGGCGCGCGCTAGTGTTTCGACGGCGAAAAAAGACGCATAAAAAAAATTTTACGAAAAAATGCGCTTAATAAAAACTTCGGCGAAGAAAGACGCGTAATCATAGGTTTATACTTGGCCAAGGACTGTAACTTCAGCATTATTCGCCAAAAACTCTTTACGGAATGTACACACTATTACAACCGCAAACATAGTTGACCGCGAAAATAAGTTTACGCGTCCTTCTTCGCCGTCAAATATTTTAACGCGTCTTTCTTCGCTGTCAACTATGTTAAGAGCCTTTCTTCGCTGAAGTTTTTTTATGCGCCGTTTTTCGCGGTCAACTGTTGAGCTCGCGCCTTTATTCGTGTCTAGTGACGATATGTACACGAAGTTTTATGTTAAAGTTTCAGTATACCCTGAAATACAAAAAGCCTTAACTAACAAAAAATCGAAAATCCACCGGTAAACAAATTGAAATTGAGCTAGTCCTGTCAAAATTCTCTGAATCAATATTTCTTATTTTGCTTTTAATCAGGGTATTCATCTCGTACCACGTAAATTAACCAGTTTTCCATACAAAATCAAGCAAGTTTACGAGGGTGAAGTGCTTACGAACATTTACGTGTTTAGATGAATTGCCCTTATACATACATATAAACATGTGTATGTATGTATGTACATATACTATATAAATGAAAAATAACACAAACAAAAAAAAATTTTACGTAAAATAGAGCCAGGAATGGTTAACTAATTTAATCGTATTCCTTGATTTAAAGAACGAAGTTCTAGTGTAGGTTGTAGGTAGGGTCGAGGTCATTTTTATTTAATTTAAAAGCAACCGTTATGTTCGTACTTGATGCAAAGCTCACTATTTTTCATCCGATTTTAAAAATCAAACAAAAAGGGGATTTATAGACCTTTAAAATTATGTATAAAAATATACGGGCATGTGCGATTTACAAAATTTATTTTGGAGAATTCTTAACAAAACGGAAGTTTACCTCTAAATCGAAGAATACGACGTCCTTTTGTGTTTCTATCAGTTTTTATTTGAAATATTTATTACTTGCATTAATTATATTAAAAAATATTTTGCAAATCGCATCGATTTCAAATCGTACGATTTGCTGTACTTAGCTTCTTGGGAGTTTTCATCGGGTAAAATTAAACAAAAAAAACGTTATTTTTCTAAATTTTTTCTAACTTGACAATCACTAATTTTCAAAATTTCTATGAAAATTGTCAAATATGTAATATTTATCTAAAAGTCGAAGAAATTGATACCTCGCCTAATGCAATTGCGTACAAATTGTCGAAGTTAAGCAATTTAAGCAAAAAACACGCCCTTTAATTTATAAGTGTGCATGTACCGGACTATTTTTTGAGCAGTGTAGCTAAGGAATTCATCCATATTTATTAAACAATTTTGAAATCGGACAAAAAACACGCGCTCCACTGACGGTCTCATGGGAGAAAAGGCAGCAAAATTACTTTTCTGAAATTTAATATTCACCTTTTGAACTTTGACTACTAGATTAAAACACTGTATGGGTTAAGCATTGGTTCAATCAACAGTCGAATTTTATGTTTCCTAGTACTACTGTCGCGCTGCTACTATCTTCGATTTGCTGTTGGCTTTGAAAATTCTTACAGCCACAGCAAAGTCGGAGCAAATGAAATAAAAAAAAAAATTAAATCATTTTCAAACGTTGGGCCTAGTGTAAGCTTCAACCTACCGAAAATGAGGGTAAACAATCAAATTAACCCTTTGACTTGTGAGTGCTATGTTTGCTACAAATTAGCATCAATTGAAACGCATTATGGAGAAATTATGCCAGGTGTAGTAATAAGACCGAAATGAAAGATTTGACACTATCTTATTTGAAAATTTGCCTTTAAAAATTTGTATAAGGTGGCCGATGTAAAGCCAGAAAGCAGTTTTATTACTTCACCTGTTTATAATTTCACCAAGGAAATGCGCATTTAGTTTCTTATTTAAATATTTAATTCTAAAAATCATCAGGCGCTTATAAAAAAATGATTTAATGTCTTCTTCTACATACTTATATATGTATGTATATCAGTATAAATCCACGTCAGGACCGGTTATGTGAGCATAATTTTGTAACATTTTCACCAACAGTCCACGTTCATGATTTTCAGTGACGCGTTTATCTTCTAATATTACGGTTGGGTGGCCGTCAGAAGTCATATTTCCATTGCCGTCTTAAATAACCTAGCAAAAGTGTACATGCATTCAAAGATACGTAATAGTTTCAGTGCGTTTGAAAAGCCCCACGACCCCTTTTCAAATAGCCCCAATTTTCTCTAAGAGTATGGGATTGATTTCATATACATATCTCCATTCCATGTTCGACTTCTATCACGAACACTTCCGGAGATATTCAGTATGAAAAATTCGTTTTTTTTTTTTATGGGAGCTGCCTCGCCCCTTTTTCCTCCCGCTGGGTACGTATGTATCCACATATGGGTATATCCAAACTGGCGTTACATGACGCTCGTATGATAAAATGTTATAAAAAGAATTGAAAATGTCAAAACTTTAAAAAGGTTTTTCTAGATTTGCATAGCAATTAAATTTCCCCTTATTAGGTAAAAAAGTCCCAACTGTTGGAAGTAGCGATTTAAAGATATTAGTAAACTTACGCGCTGGCGTGACTGAAGTCGATATTGACATCGATTTTGTAGTAATATTGGAATGTTTAAGGTTCATTTTCCAGGTTTTGAAATGTAAAAATCTTTTCTGCTTTATGTTTAATCAGCTGAATTATCTGACGTTACGTTACCTGTCTTTACGTTACTAAAATTTCCTTTGAAAAAGTTTTGTTAATATTGTTTTTGAAAGAATTTTTAACGCGAAGAAAACATGCATTTAGGGCCGGTTGTTGTTCAATGTCTGGTTATCACTACTTGCCGGTTAAACATCATTATCGACGATTTCGACATCATGCATATAACATGTGATCGATAAAGCAGTCGTTGTATCTAACCGGAGCTTCTACCTCCGATTTTTGCTAATCAGACATTGAACAAGTGGCCCTTAATGTCGAACGTACTGTTTTATTTTGACATCAGCGCCACCAGTGGTTTCATTTTTGCAAATCCATGTCCTACTACGTTTCAACTAAACATGTCAAATGTGAAACAAATCAGAGCATAAATACGGTTTTTCAAAATATCTCGACCCTGGCGCCACCGGCAACGAGTCCATTTTGACCAAAATGTTTCTGTTTACATAGCCAGTAAATATTAAAAAGCAGCCAAATCGGCCTATAAATAAGTTAGATATAGGAATTTTAATTTTTCTACGCGATAGACTTTTCGCTAGATTCGCCTATAAGTATTTATGATTTATGTATCACAGATGCTACCGATTTAAAGTTACACTGGATCACAAACTCTAGTTTGGTTTGGTTGTTCTCCAGACGCCACTATCGAATTTCTATGTAGAATTGCTCGGTGATTCCGAAAATCGAGTTAATTTTTTCTATGGATACGTTTTCGAGATATTTGCAATTTACCGTTATTCAGCTTAAAACAAAAAATGGTTCCACTTAATCGCGTATATCTTACGAACCAATTTAAGTGATTAAGTGGAACCACATTTTGTTTTAAGTAAATTGCAAATATCTCGAAAACCTATCCATAAAAAAAAAAAAATTAACTCGATTTTCGGAAACAGCGAGCAATTCTACATAGAAATTCGATAGTGACATCCATTGAACATTTTTGCTGTAAACTAGTGTTATCAATTACATTTCTAAATTAAGGTTACTTCACACTTTCTACAATATGTTAGCGAACGTATATTTTTAGGATAAAAAAAATGTATTCCAATGGTTTTTAAAACCGCCAAATACGCGCATGTGCAATTTCAACATGAAAGTTGGAAAATGTAGATTATAAATACGCTTGTATGTATATTTAAAGAAATAGTAAAATATTTCACTTCCACATAGTAAACCGCTTGCAATAATTAATCAAAAAAAAAAAAAAAAAAAAAAAACACGATGTAGTGTCAAGAAGTGCACAAATATTCTTATTAACGTCATAGACTAAAAGTGGTAAAATAATAGTTCTTCGTTTATGTCTGACTTTGTATGTAAGTGCCATGTTTTAGAACTATATATATCAGACTGAATTCATATATTTTTTTATTATTTCCTTTCGCTTAATAGCCGAAAAATATATTTGTGAATATGTACTCTAACTTATCCTTTTTTAATAATGTACGCAGTGTATACAATGAATCCTCCTTTAGCTCTTCTTTTCGATTCTAAATTATATTTAATATGTTAAGTATGAACAAAATTTGTATGTTTTCAAATAGTAAGCAAATACATTTACAATTTTAGGCGAAGAAACTGTGATACGAAAAATTTTAAGATATACAGTAATTAAAATGTTTATTGATCATTTTGCATTGCGCTATGTACGTCATTCATACACATGTCCGATTTCCACTTAGCGTTAAATTGGAAAAAATTTTATAACAAAATTCAGCATTGAAAACATAAACGATTCGTTCATTTCCGTATCGTATTTTCTTAAGTTTTTTGTCAATTCAATGTCTAGTGGAAATTTGATATAGGATCGTTATCACAATAAAAGTTTAATCATATCATTATAGTTATTTTGTTATACTTAAGATTTAAAAATATATGCTGATTTTATCTTTATGTGCTTATCTTTACACATGGATGAACTAAATATACGGTACATACTTACATGCATGCATGCATACATACATGTATGTAATATACACATACATACATAAAGAGCGTGTCAGACGTGGCAATATATTTCGATGCAATAAATTTCGGAAAGGCTGTCAAATTGAGAAATCAGTTGCATGAGCAGTCACACCTTGCATGGAAAGTGTCTTTCGAAAGAGGTTTTTATTTCCGAACGGCGAATTGCAGGAAAAATTTCTGAAATCGCTTTTTGGCTGTTCACACAGCGAATGAGTTTCTAGCAATCTTTCTCGATACTAAAATGCAACCATGGGCGGTGGGGTTGTCGTTTGTTTGCTATTTCTCTTGTAAAAGCG